TTCCAAGAGCCATGTTTAATCCACGTAATTAAGCCAGTTTTGGTAGATTTTCCCACCCCCACAAAATGATTGTCCACTTGGAATCAAACATGATTCTAAGTCGTGATTTACTCCAAAACATGATTCTCGGAATCAAACTTCTTCCCTCCATTATCTTCTTTCTACAACCAAGTTTAAACATTTCAACTGAATCCAATCACTCTGCTACAACACAATAGATCAATTGCAAAGAGCGAAGCATCGATCTTTGGCTTCTTCAACATTGCAATATCTCGGATATGTTCTCCAAACTGAATCCAGTCACTTCGATCACTATAGGCTTTGTACGCTATAGGCTCTATGTTTGACAACCATTGAACATTGTAGCTAAAGGCTTTGTGTTTCTTTGACATTAGAACTTCCACTCTTTGTGTATGAGGTTTGAACTTCAATGAAGGGAAAAGAAAAAGGCAATTGGAGAGTCTCCAGTTGTCCAACATACCATTTTGAAGCCAAAAAAGGTAGTTGTAGGTTCTGCAATGGGTGCATAATTGCAATATACTTTGGAGTTTGGAGCCATAGGAGTGGATGACTCTACAAGGGCTGAACTAACAGAAAATCAGCAAAACTCTAAGATTTGATACCAAGAAGAACACTCAAATATGATAATCTAATAGTGGAAGGACTCAAAAGTAGTGTTTGGATGGTTGTAAAACAATACCCCAGAGCTTTGGCAATACTGACATATGATAAGGCACTTGGCTAGGCAATCAAGAACAAGCTTCTTATGGGTTCAACAAATAGCAAACAGGTTAACTAATGAGCTAGCCACCAAGGAGCACAAAGGGAGAAGCTGTTTTGGGTAAATATTCAACCTTGTCATGTACAAGACATAACCAAACATGGAGAAGCTGAACTGATGTAAAGAGGGGGGCAACAGGGTGGGCAGCAGGGGTTAGCCTACAGTCCATGAGGTACTAGGCACACATTCTTGTACATCATTTTTTATAATCAATAAAATTTTAATGTTATCCATCATAAAGACTACTATATATTAATACTGATAAGTAACAATCAAAGAAATGGAATTTTTCTGCTTTCTTGGGAATTGGGGACACTAGGTTTAACTCGCAAAAATCCTGGTTGTAGTAGGTTTATTTAACTTCCACTATAATTCAGACACCACTTGCAATAATGTAAAACCTGTGAACACTTTCACTAATCCAATGTGTACAGTTTATTTTTACACCAAAAAATCAATCCAATATATAGGATCGGTTCATTTTTTGAACAGTCAAAAAATAAGAATTGTATCCTTTGGAAAACAATCTGATTATTTAATTGTTAGAGGAATCCAATTAAGCTGTCTTTTGGTCTAGAAAATCCCCTAAATTGGGTCTACAATATCTTTTTTTTATCAGCAACACAAAAAGATTCATTAGATTATCAGAATGTGTACAACAAGATGTTGTGGGTAGACATAAAGTCCACCTAAGCCCCACTAATTACAATACAGACCCAAGCTTAACCCAACAAAGAAATTCATTAGTTACAAACAAGTCCCAAAAGGACCCAAGGGATATCCCATTAGCTACAACATAGCCCAGAACATAGATTGCCTTTGGACTCCTTGCTTAGCAAGACCATCAGCTATGCTATTAGCTGACCTCCTAATCCATCTATTGTGAATTCCAATATCTTTATAAGCCTGCTTAAAGCGCCTGAACTCATTTCTTAATCTCCAGATTGCTCCTTCCTCTTTTTTCAGCCAGTTTACAACAACTTTTGAGTCCCCTTCAATAATCAACCTGTTAATCCCCAACTCTTCAGCTTTCTCAACACCAAACACTGCTGCCTTCAATTCTGAATTCTCCACATCACCATGCTGGGTAGGGCCTGAGAACATGGAAATGATATTTACATTCTCCTCGCTTATTATCCCACCAATGCCCGATGGACAAGGGTTTCCCAAACAGCTCCCATCAAAGTTTAGTTTCTTCCACCCAACATCCGAAGGGGACAAAAATTCAGTTACAATAGGTCTTCTAGAAGCTATATTTGCAATTGTTCCCCATGATCTGAAGAAATCTTCTGTCTTAAAATCTGCAAATATTTTCAAAGTTTTCACCCAATGTGCCACCCTTATAGTTATCACTTCAATCATAGCATCTCTACCTCTTTCTTTATCACCAAATATCCTCAGATTTCTTTCCTCCCAGATTGTCCGGACCACTGCTGCTCTAGTGCATTTTTCCATCACTTTTCCTCTCCTTTTAGAGCACCTGAAAATGTTGGAGCTAAAAAGATCTTCTAGATTAGCAAGAGGATTCCAGCTGCAACCAAACAAAGAGGAAACCCACTCCCACATAGAATTAGCAAAAGGGAAGGAGATAAAGAAGTGGAGAGAAGTCTCACCATTCAGCTTACATAAGGAGCACCAGTTTGGGGACAGGCACCATTTGGTCTTTTTCTCTGAAGCAAGTCACAACTCAAGTGTTGATGGAACCATGGAATACTTCCCAACAGAAAGTACTGAATTTAGGAGGAATGGGCCGAAACCAAATCTCCTTAACAAGGAAGGAGAGGAGGCGGTGGCAACAAGAGAGTTCAAGAAAGATTTACAAGAAAAGGAACCTGACTGATTGAGGACCCAGACTCTAGAATCTGAAACACTATCCCCCAAAACTACTGAATTCAACAGGTTAACCAAGGTAGAGAAACTAGAGATTTCAGATTCTCTTAGATTTCTAATAAAACCCAAATTCCAACTCAAGTTTGAAGAGGAAGAAGAAGAGATGATAAAATCACTAATAGGTTTACCCTTGAGTCTGGAGAGAGCAGAGACGAAGGGAAAACCTCTGACAAGGGGAGTCCCCAACCCAGATTTCCTCCCAGAATCTGGTTTTCTGACCCAAAGCCAAATCATACCTTATAATGGGAAGAAACAAAAGAAGAATGTCGTGGATGGCCTTCCAAGGTACAATCAAGCAATCAACCATTGTTTGATTGCCCATGGATACTTGAAATAACTCTAGTCCACAATTTCTCATTTTCTTTGGGGAACCTCCAAAGCCAATTACTCAACAGAGCCACATTCTTCAGTTTTACATTTCCAATTCCCAAACCTCCTCCTTTCAAATGCTTCACCTTCTCCCACCTAATCAAATGGTTATTTTTCCCTTCCCAAGCTCCCACAAAAAAAATCCCTCATAATTTCCTCGGTTCTTCTTATCACAGCTTGGGGCATTCTAAAGACCGACATTGTAGTAGATTAGAAGATTTGCCAAGGTGGACTTGATCAAAGTAATTCTCCCTCCCAAAGAGATACAATTCCTCTTCCAACTTGTCAATCTTTTTTCAAACCTTTCAACTACTAGGTTCCAAAAACTGACTGATCGAGGGTTTCTACCAAGGGTCATAACACAGGCCAATCTCCAGTCTCACACACCAACAATGCAGCCAAATCTCTCGACTCACTCTCTTCCAAATTGATGCCAACCACTAGACTCTTAGACCAGTTAATTCTCAAGTTGGAGATCCTTTCAAACAAGTTCACAACTAATTTTAGGTTTTCCACATCTTCACTGCTTCTCCCCTTCACAGAAAATCAAGGTATCATCTGCAAACCACAAATGTGAGACCAAAACTCTATCTCTCCCAACTGACCAACCTTTGATCAATTGCGTAGAGTTAGCCTTTGAAATCAGTTTACTCAATACCTCAGCTACCAAAGTAAGAAGAAAGGGAGAGAGTGGGTCTCCTTGTCTAAAGCCTCTAGTCCCTTCAATGAAATCAACTGCAGTGCCATTCACTAGAACAAAATAGTGACTTGTTTGCAAGCATCCTTTGATCCACTTACACCATAAGTCCCCAAAGCCACACCTCATTATAGTGATCAAAAAATCCAAGTCCACAAGATCATAGGCTTTTTCCAGGTCCAACTCGATTGCCACTCCCTTCCTCTTTAACCTTTTTTGAGCCTCCGCACACTCACTTGCAATTAGAATTTGACTAATAATTTGTCTATCTAGGATGAAGGCCCTTGGTGCTGGGAAATGAGAGGGGAACACCATTTTAAGCCTCAGAGAAAGGACCTTGGCAATTACCTAACAAATGTTGGTTACTAAGCTTATAGGTCTGAAGTCTCCTGGCTGAGTGGCACCTTGCTTCCTTGGGATCAAAGCTAAGAAAGTTGAGTTCATCCCTGGATTGATTACTCCCCTTCTATAGAATTCCCTGAACACTTGAGTTCATCCCTGGGTCTTAAATTCTTCACATGCTAATAAGGTACATTCCAGCTTACATTAATGCCCTATCGTAATTGTACCTGTTCTTGAAGATATGGTAGCAGGTAGTTCCACCAAATTTAGTTTCTCCAACCCAAGTCAAGCCTGTTAAGTGCTTTAGCATGAAGGGATTGTATACCTAAACCTTTTACTTACATGCAGAAGCATCTTGAAACATAATAGGAGATTTTTTCTGGTCATATGATATTTATGCATATTACTTTAAAGGGTTATTAGACCCACATTCTCATCCAGTTTTGTCCTTCTATAAAATAAATAAAAGTGTACAAAAGACATGAGCCCTCATGAACATTCAATCTTTGTTGCTTATCAAAATTAAAAAAAAAAAAAGCATTCAATCTTTGTTTCTTTATATATCTTTGCTTTCAGTTCATTTTGGTAATTTGGCTACATTATCCTGATTCTTATGCATTAAATGCCCATAATAGACAAATAACATAATTAAAGGAAAAAAATTCTTGCAGTGCAAAAGACCAGACATTTCAAAAGTATAGTTTCCATGCCCATGCATAATGAGAATAGTAAAAGCAACTCATAAAATTGAACCATCAACGAGAGCATAAACTTCTCAGTAATTCAGGTATTAGTTGGGATCAAAAGCCCAAAAAAATGCTACAAGCGTACAACTCTACATAAAATGGGAGGTAATTTTAAACAACAATCACAATGTAGAAAATGGAAAAAAAAATTAAAAAGAAAAGTAAGAAGGCTTACTGTTTAGCACGTTTTGGATCTGTTTCTGATGCAGAATGCTTAGTGTAAGAAACATCCCTTCTTTCAGAAGAGATTCTTAGATCCGGTGGACCAGACTCCTCCTGATCTTGCTTTTCAGTGGCTGTAGATGGCACACCATCTGGTTCCTGTGGAGCACACAAAGATCCTGCATTTTGAAGTCTAACATTATCCCTTGCAGATGGAAAACTACTAGGGTGAGTCATAGGATTCAAGGATGATTCCCATGCCCTGTTCTGCTGTCTTCCAAAAGAATTTGGCTCCACATAGAAAGAAGCATGTCGCACATCTTTGTAACGATCAAAATCTTGAGATCCCCATGAAGGTATGGCATTAACATTTTTAAATTTGTATTCTTGAACTAAATTTTCTATGTTAGAAGCATCAGTTACATCCAAGTATGCAAAAGAGTCACTTGATGAGCGTCGATGACCTCCTCTCCGCACAGGTGTCTCTGGTTCATTAAGGAGTTCCTCAAGCCATGAAGGTTGTTCCTCTATGAGAAGGCTCTCAGATGAAGTTCGTTGGTGGAGCTTATGCCCCTCTCTTGGCTTTGGAATACCTTTTGATCTCATTGCAGGAGAAGAGACATAATCAGCGTAGGTTGGAGAAATGCTGGGAAAGGGACTTTTGGGGGGTAGTAATGACTGTTTCCCCGTGTTTGTTAAACTTCTTAAATTTGGAGCTTTAGAATTTGCCATAGCATAAATACACCAGTGCCTGTACAAAAGAGAAGTGTGAAATGATGGAAAGACCAAGAATTATAAAGTAAAATGGTGTCAAAGTTCTTCATGCACTTAATAATTCAAACACTCAACAAGGCAAGGCACAAACATATGTGGATTCTAGCCAAGTGCTTCAAGCACTCAACAATTCAAGCATGGCAAACTCTCGATGTGTTTGCCTATCTTCTAACTGCATTAACTCAGTAGATAGTATGATATTAGATGTATTACATCCCTAATCCTAAGAGGTTAGGACCTCTACGGAGAGACAAAGGGCTTGTAGGCCCCAATGCAAATTTTTTGCCCATATATGTAAGGGAGATGGTTTTGTGATTTTGGTTGCAGTTAATTCTATGTTAAGGTCAGGGATCAGAGATCTATTGTACTTTTTTGCTTCTTTAGTGGAAATTTTTCTATCTGAGATCTTATCTACAATAACTAGGACTTCTGGAATTTAAAAGGTCTTTTATTTTGTTTTTTAAAGCCAGTGGATCAATGCTAGCCCAATCACCAGTAAAAGGTAATTTATAAGTTAATAAGCAATAACAAAGGTGTAAAACACACAAGGATGTATGAAAAATAAGCAAAAGGGCAAAGTTATAAAAGGCATGTGCCTGGATTGCCTTGAAGCCCAGGAATCCTGGGTTCAAGCAAGGTGCATGCCTTAAAATGTGCATAGTCTATTTATTAATATGGTGATACTTTCTCAAAAGAAACAAAAATACCACTAAGAGGAAAAAAATTAAGTAGGACTCATCCAACAGAGAACAGGAGATCTGAATAGGGTTAATTTTGGATCTTGGATGTTCCAGACTCTTCTAAAAAAAATGCACCAGGATTCCAGTGGAAGATGATGGAACAATGAAATCATGAAGCCAAGAAAGGCTTGGAGCAGAAGCAGAGTAGCAAGGCATGACATCCTTAGCTAGGATAGGCATGCAAAACAGTCACAAATTGAATAATGAAAAGATCCAATCCAACAAGAACATTATTCAGACGTATATTGATACCATAGCCCTAAACTAATTATCCAAAAGGAGAAATGTTCCATTGATACATGGGTGCATACTTCTTTTATCATCAATGACAAAAACTTTAATTTATAAAGTAATCATACAACATTCTAGACTTGCAATGTAGGAGACAGAAACAAAACCAGCCACAATCTGACTATAACCAAATACAACTTAAACAACTAACTCACTACAGCATCAGCCCCAGGCCTGGTGGCCCTACAATAATTCAGGTATACATAAGTATACTTAAAATTGTTTGGTTGGTAACTCCTGTCACCACTTATAAATTCCTAAACGTTAGCATTCACTAGTAATAACACTTCCATTTTAATGAGTTATACAGTAATAGCTACTTAGCTAACAAATCTTCCCATATGCAACTACATCAGACCAAAATTACTTAGTAGCATTGCCAAATTTCAGTGGGAAATTCCTGTTTCATCTAGGATATTTTTCTCATGAGACCATTCCATTCCTCTGCTAAAGGAAAGGGAAGGAAATGAACAATACAACAATCTAGACCTATAAACATACTACATCATTAAAGTAGAAACAATGTAGTGCAATTTGCAATAAAACACTAAATGAGCCAAAGAAGGAAAAATAGAAACCCAAAGAAGCAACACGATGATAATGCAATTGAAGCCGATCGAAAACTCATCGAGAAACGCAGTGAAGCGGAAAGATTAAAAACAACGTCATCAAAAACTATCTGAAACGCAGGTAACACAATCAAGAGATTTTAGGGGTGAAAAGAAACAGAAGAAAGGGATTTTTGTTTAGAATCTTGAACAAGTAAAATAATCAAAAACATAAAAGTGACGATAAGAAAAAGAAAGATAAATTCAAAGGAAAAAGGAAATAAAAGTTCTTTTTCGAAGAAATTAATCGAACCCCGAATCAACAAAAAAACTAAGAAAAAAGTCACATTTGGAAGCAAAGACAAGAACAAGATCAAACCCAATATTTTCGAGCTCTAGAAGTAGAAATACAAAGATCAACAGATCAAACAACAATCAAAAACAAATAAAATGTGCATTCCCGGCAGAGCCTGCAACTTCGTACCTTGATCTTCTTCCCTTCTCCTTCCGTCTGAAACGAAACCCTAAATCAAAATTTTCGAAAAAAAAAAACGCTAGAAAACAGGAAAAATTCTAGGGTTCTTCAAGAGAGATAGAGAGAGAGAGGTGTTGGTGGACAGAGAGGGATGGAAAAGTATAAGCCAATGGCATTTAATGCGAAATTGTCAAAATATTCTCCAAGTTATCGTGTCGAGCGATTGTTTCACAATTTATCGGGGCCAAATTATCATTCCAATTTATATTTTTCGCGACATTTTGGACCATTTTATAATTTCTTATTAGCTGTAAGATATTGCTGGAAACACCTCTAATTCTGCTCTGAACACAGAAATATCATGCCAGCTACTTATGTTAATCATACCTGCTCACGAACCTTTAAACGGGTCGGATTAATTTTCTACCCGATTAATGACTCCAACCTACCAGCCTTTGAATTCTATTAAATATTCGAATATTCGATTCGATTTAAATTTGACTAATTAATTATTTTAGGTAATTAATAGATATATAAAATAAATATTTTATTTAAGTAAAGTATATAAATATATAAATTATTTATATAATTTAATTATTATATATAAATTATATAAAACATTTTAAAATTTTATATATTATATATAAGAATTAAATAATCAATCAAATTCGGATACTTATCGAATCGAATCAGATTATATCCGAATTCGAATCTGATTAGTTATTCGGTATGAATAGGATATTCGTATTCGACCGGTTAGATATTCGAATTATCTGAATTTGATTCGATTATGTTAAATCTCAAATTCGAAATCAGATTTTTGAATAGCATTAACACCCCTAAGGCTAACGCCTTTTTCTTTGGGTCTATTTTCAATCTCTACTTCTACTATCTTAAAAAATCAAATTTTTTTAGACATCGTGTTTTTTTTAATACCTCTTATTTTTCAAACCTGACAATATTCTTTTTATATGTCTCCAAAGTTCCCTTTCATTATTTAGTAACACATTCTTACTATATAAAACTTTATAAATAATAATAATATCAAAATATTATAAAATATTAATACTTTTTATTCTTTAATTATTTTATAATTTTATTTTTAATAATTTAATTATTAAATAACAAATTATTATTTTTATTGTTATTTATGTCATATTTTTATTATTTTTAATTATTTAATTATTAAATCAGTAGAATTTTAATTATTTAATTATTTTATATTTTTTATTGTTACTTTGTTATTTACTTATTGAATATTTTTATTACTTTATTATTATTAGTATTAGTGTTATTATTTTCAATTATTATTTTAATTATTTTTCTTATTTAAATATTTATTGTTATTTACTATTTTATTATAATTAATTATTATTCTTATGATTTTATTATTTATGTTATTATTTATTTAATGATTTTTATTATTTTTAATTGTTTAATTGTATTATTATATTATATATTATTTATTTAATGATTTTTATTATTATATTGTATACTTAATTTAATTGTTTAATATTATTAATACTTTTAATATTTCTATTGTTTTATTAGTTTTATTATTATTTGTTTACTTATTATAATATTATGTGGTTATTTAATAATTTTATTTAAATATGTAATTATTTAATTCATTATATTTATTATTCTATATTTAATTATAATTATTTTATTATTTTTTGTTTTTAACATAAATTTTTTTCTAAAAATGATTAATATCAGTTTATTAATGTTAATTATAATTAATGTAAATATTCCTTATCATAAGCAACTATGGGAGCAAAATTGTAAGCTAACCATATTCAACATTCAACATTTAGAGCTTTGCATTCAAATATCATATATTGCAGTCAAGGTACTAGGGTTCAAATCTTAGAAACAACCATTAGTATGTCCAAAGGTAAGGTTGTGTACATTTGTCCCTCCCCTAGACCTCACATTGGTGGGAGGCTTGTGCATTGGACTACCCTTTTTCTCAAAGTACTTTTTTAAGAGCTTTTTTGCTTTTTAAACATCAAACTTTTAAACCAAAAGAAACACCTAAGGATCTATTTGAAAGGATTCTAATCTTTGATTGAACTGCTTTGCTTGAGTTGCTTTAAAGAAAATATTAAGACCCTGTTTGGGAGGGCTTTTAGCATTGATTGAGCGGCTTTAGAAATATTACTAACAAGTTGGAAAAGTCAATTTTCACGACTCATGTAAGCATATGTTCAATTGTCCAAGTTTTTCACCAAACATGGCTTCGTGGCTCTCAATGTGGGGCTTACCTTGTAAGGTGAGAGGCCATGTCATGAAAGCCCTTCCAAATGGGCACTAATTAACTTTATGGTTTTTTCACTAAATATGACTTTGTGACTTTTCAATGTGGGGCCTATCTTGCAATTTGAGAAGCCACATCATGAAAGCCTTCTTAAACGAGAGCTTTCATGCAATGGCTTCTAGCATTCCATGAGATGATAAACCTATACACTATTGATGAAGGACATTTTGGTCAATCCACTTAACCGGGGACATGTGGACGTTGTCAGCAATACAACGTTCGACTCAACAAAACAGTTCACCAGGTCAACACATGGCAGTTTATAACAAGTTCACGGCCGAGCTGAGGCGAGCTCGGCCCACTGACAACGACATCTCACCCCGAAAACGTCCTGCGCACCATGTCCATTCCAACACTGTTAACGCAACTACAGGACCAGCTCGCGTGAACCATGCGCCACGAGACCCATGGGCAACTTATAACTGCTGCATGAATTCAGCAACTAACGGCCCAGCACCCCCTCAAACTACGGAAACAGCTCTACAGAAAACTCAAAGACATTGGTCAATGGCACTTGAACACCTAATAACTATAAAAAGAACCCAGGGACACTCTGAAAGGTATGTGCATTAAAGCTCTTGAACTCTCTCAAAAATTCTCATCAAACCTCCTCTATAACTTAAGCATCGGAGTGTTTTTCTAGGTAAAACACACCCAATCTCTAACCTATCTCTCTTTATAGAATCCCTCAGCTTGGACTCCCAATTTGACATCACAATTCACCATTGATAGGTATAAACTTGGTTCAAACCACCTCACCAGACATGAGGGAGTGAGCGAATTGTATATCAACATTTATAAAAGTCATAAATCCACTTTTTGGTGAAGCTATCTCATGTAGCTTTTCAAAACAGCTCAACCAACACAAAAGCCCTCCCAAATGAACTCTTAGTGTGGGAGGGCTTTCACGTAGTGGCTTATGGCATTACATGAACTAAGAAACCCAAAATGCCGTAAAACCATGTTTGATAAAAAAACCAAAATGCCAAAAATATGATCCGTAAAGTCAACTTTCCAATAAAGTCATCTGAGGTAGCTTCTTTGAAATGGTTTTATAAGACAATGGATTTATATAAGTACATTAATCTGGATTGAATGACACAAACTCGAGTCAGACCGAATTGGTTCAAACCAATTATTCATTTAAACAAAGCTATTGCATCAATTTTGGAACTTTCTAAAATATTAACTAAAGGGCAAAATTGACAAAATCAGAACACAAAAAGAGGATTCAGGAAGCCCAAAATCCATATGGGACCCAATTAACGATATATCCAAGAGGCATTCATATCAGCGCCCCACAACACATCTCGGCCTTACATTCGGAACTTCATCATCGGGAGATGCTCCCTATAAGGTCGAGATGTGATGTAGGGCGATGTGATATCATCCAAGAGACCCATTGTAAAGGGGAGAAACGTACATTTTACCCTCATTTCCCAAATCACAGCCATTCTCTCTCTTCCTCAAAAATCACCAACTCACTATTATTACACAACCAAGGAACTATAACGTCATGATCTCTCACCACAGAATATGTAGGCAGCCCCTTTAGTTGGTTCTTTCTTTCTCCTCCCTATTTTTCCCCGACCTGAATCGCCATATTCCTTGGACCTTTGGGGTAAGATCACAAGTGTCAAATTCACTAGCTTAATGGTTTAGTCAACACTATGGTTTTTAAAATCGGATCCGAAAAATCAGGAATCGGTCCATTTTTTCTTTAAACTGGATTTTTCTTAAAAACCGTTGATTTTGGTCAGCAAACTGTTGACCCAGACGATTAATTGTTCGAATAGTTTTGACCATTTTTTATATATAGATTTTAATTTTTTTGTCAAAACAGTTGAACCGTTCAACCCGAAAACCGGACCCCTGACTGGTTCATTCTCCTAATCAATCAACGCAAAAACCCTCCCAAACGAGCTATTGGATTCATCAAAAAGTCGATTTTTTAATTGAACGATAGCCTATAGGCTTTTTTTTTCATTAAAACATAGCCTTTAGGCTTTAATGTGGGGCCCACCTTATAAAGTCAAAAGAACAAATAAAGATGGGATATCGAACCAACTGGTCCATATCATATGTAGTGCACTATACTTAGTCAAGGCCACATATACAGATTTCTTTGCTAAATTCTTTTTTAACCAAAAGAAAGATCACCTATATAAGAAAAAGTCTATGGTACACAAGTATTATAATGTTCCAATGTCAATGGGATTAGAACAGGTTGCCTCTAAGGGTGTCAATGGACCGGTTTTGGATTGAACCCCGTTTAATCCAAAATCAATTTGGACAGATTGGATGGACCAAAAAGATATATTAAATTGGACCAATTCGGTTTAAAATATTTATTAGATTGGATTGGACCTGATCCGTCTGTAACAAATTTATATTGGATTGGATTGGATTAAGCTAATACCTGATCCATTGATATAAGACAATAATATATGTGTCAATGAATCGGGTTTGGGTTGAAACCAATTTAAATCAAAATGAATTTGAATAGATTGAACGATTGAAACATTGAATTAGGCCAATCCCAAATTAGTACAAAACATTCATTGGATTGAACTGGACCTGATCCATTTATACTGGATTGGATTGGACCAAATCCAGTCCAATTGACACCCCTAGACTTACTTCAACCCGAGACCAAGAGCGACCCCATTATGAATAGGGATGTGGGTAGAGTTAAATGGTAAATCTGCAATGGGTTCAATATAAATAGACTTAGGTTGAATAATATTGTTTCAGGCCGGATTGGATTTTACCCCACTTATTCGGTTGAGTCAGATGTATTCACTCAAATCAGGTGAGGAACCAGGTTGTTTTTGTGGTTGGATTTG